CATGGGCAATCTTTGCTTCCTATCGAAAAACTCTTCAACCGCTGCGCAGGTATTAACCACAACACTTGCATCTTCCATGTCGGCAGCCATGAACAGTCGCTCATAGGTAGTCAGCAAAGCATCTCCCAGCGAGGCTCTCTGCGCTAACAGACGATCCCAGCGTTGAGCTAAGGCGTCCTCTGCTCGTCGCTCATCCGTGTCTCGGTTCTGTCGGTTCGGTAGCCGTGAATGCTTCTGGAAAAATGTGTCTGTGGCTTTACAAATTGCTACGTGAGAGTCTTCCTGCTTCAGCAAGTGCAAAAGTTTCAGCCGTTTCAATTTAGAATAGATTGCCCGACTCTGGGATAAGTCCGACAGCTGCGACGGTATTTCTCCGTGTACTCGTATGAACTCATCCAACTCTGCGCGGGCACTCTCTGCTTTCTCGACATCCGATTTCTTCTTTGGAGGAAATATTGGAAATAGATATGAAGAAAATAGGAGGATATACAAGACAGGAGACTGCCACGTCAGCTTCCAAGAATGCGATACACATCCCATCAGCAAGAGTGTGTAAACTCGACAGCTTTGGAGGGTCTCGGCGTGCAATCCCATGCACCAGGCGCAGCAAAAACATACACCCAACAACGCCTTAGTTCCGCCGGAGTATGCATGACAGACTAGTGATCGACCACGGGTTAATGTAAAACAATATTGTTACTCTAATGCACTACCATGACATGAAGAAGGTCCTATCAGGTCGCTATGCCACGCATCTAATAATTAATCAAAGTCCAGGCGCCATCATGTCACCCATGTCTGAGAATCCAATGCAATGATAAGGAAACAGTTGCGCGAACTCCACCAGCAATACCTTTGGCCGCGGCAGCAAGGTCCCGTGTTGCAGCTCTACGCATCGCAGTGTGCTAGGTATCAATATCATACCAACGATCGCGCACCAGGTCGTCATAGGTAGAAGAATAGCCCAGCAACACCCCAGCATCAGTAGCACATGTAGTAAGGTCAACCTCACTCGCCACGAACCCTTCCTTCTTTTGTCATCTGCCCAAAACGTCCGAGGTCGTGCGCACGCGCGTCCTCTTCGCGACATCGCGCTCCCCTACACCGGCGACTCCACCACCAAGCTCAGGGATATGCTCTCCACACACTCCACCCTGTATACACAAACTCTACGTAACATAATTTGGGTTACCAACGTTTTCTAGTTTAAACGCATCCAAAACGTTACCCAGTTACACGTATGTCTTTTGATGCATGCGTGGTGTCTGTTTCTTGTGTGATGCTTCGTCTAGTGCTCACCAGAAACCACCACGCTCAGTATTCACATCATTGCTGGAATTTACATGTCGTGAATTCGTCTCTGCTTGAGCACTTCAACTTTCGACTAGCGTCTGCGCTCGACGTGACCATGTCAATCACTCGCCTGCTAATGCTATCCTGACTCTTGCAAACAGCGCTGCCATCATAACAATACTTCTGCGTCTCACTCACGCCGTCTCAAACTCATGGAAACACAAGGATTTTTTTTTGGTTTGCTGGAATCGCTTTCCGCCAATTCACTGTGTATAGAAAGAGACACAGCCGGCGACAGTCTCTTTTTCACGCTCTGGCACGCTGTTGGACATCGTGTGCTGGGGACTCCACCACCAAGGCAACACGCACTGGGGACTTCACCACCAAGCTCTGTCTTCACCACACGCTGGGGACTTCACCACCAAGCTCCCGCTTTCACCTTGTAGTCAAATCAAGCACTGGCGCAAAGGTTCTGGCAGATCCACAGCGCGAAAGCAACAACGGCATCGTCCCAAAACCTCGAGGAAGGCGGTCAGTCTTTTTGACTGGATGATACTCATGGCGCCGAGCCAGTGTCGTCCCACCATGGGCCTTCTGGGCCTGAAGTTGCTTGCGGGTGATTAGGCTGTATGTGAATCTGCGGTGGGAAATGGAGCATGTTTGGTGCGTTGGGCGTTGGCTGAAGATTGTGTGGCATAGCTGTGGGTGGTCCCACAGGTGTGAGTGTGGCTGGTCCCCGAAGAGGGATGCGCAAATTGTAGACCTGCGTGGGGTCGCACTGTTGCGATGAGGCGGTAGGTGAGGTTGATGGAAAGAGATCGACGGGTCGTGTTGGTGAAATGCAACAATTTGCTGATCGCACACATGTGTAAGACTGTTGTGGACGTGGCGGCGGTGCTGCTGATTGAAGGTGATGCTGAGTGTGAGAAACATCAGGCGTCGCTGGTGGTGATGTTGTGTTTGCACGCGTGGAATCCTGTGGAGCAATACTGGTCGTTGCCTGTGCTGGGTTCTGCTGGGCGCTGTCTTGTGGAATGGTGTATGGATGAATGAGATCTGCTTGTCTTGCGCTTGTCACGGGATCGTCGGCTGGATCAGGTAGAACTGCTGGAGTGCCTCGGCCTTTTCCCTTCAGCTGTCTGGGAGACAGTTGACCAATGGCATCGATGTGTCCAAGGGCGGCGGTCAAATCAGCAGCAGCATGGTCGACAAGGGCACGGATCCGTAGAATGCGATCCAGCAGTGGTTGTGCAAGATGAGGGTAAATTGCATCGTCGAAATACATCGTTTGTTGTAGGGAGTGCAGATGTTCACGACTATGGTAAAGGCCCAAGCGGAAGCTGTGCTGAGAAGTGTAGATGCCATAGAGGTGGGCTGCGGGAGTGTTGTGCGTCCAGGTCCAAAATGCGGCTTCCATGTCTGCAGGAGCTGAGGGTATGACGGCCCGAAATGAAACGAAAAGGTCAGTTTGAGTTGTAAATAGCTAGAGAACAAGATAGAATATGGTGCGAGCTGTGCACTGACTGCCTGTACACTCGAACTAGCGTCTGTGCTCTGAGCACCGCTCTACTCACCTAGGTTCCACTGATCCTACACGCATCACATCTATTCTGCTAGCATGTGTTTCCTAGTGACAATCCTTTGAGAACAATACCTGTCAAACGATAACCATTCAAATAACAGCATCTCAACGTAGCATTGCCAACACGCATTCGGAAAGAGCCTATGACGCAACTTTCTCCTGTCCCTCGCTGACGTCAAGTCTCAGAATCCGGGTCTACAACAATCCTCAGGTGCCGGAGACTCCACCACCAGGCATCTGATACAATCCTCAGATACCGGAGACTCCACCACCAGGCATCTGCAGCAATTGTCAGGTGCCGGAGACTCCACCACCAGGCATCCCGAGTTGAGATCTGCTTGTCTTGCGCTTGTCACGGGATCGTGGGCTGGATCAGGTCGAACTGCTGGAGTGCCTCGGCCTTTTCCCTTCGGCTGTCTGGGAGACAGTTGACCAATGGTATCGATGAGTCCAAGGGCAGCGGTCAAATCAGCAGTAGCATGGTCGACACGGGCACGGATCCGTAAAATACGATTCAGTAGCGCGTCGTCGAAATACATTGTTTGTCGCGCAGCTGCTCACGACTATGGTCAAGGCCCAAGCGGAAGCTATGCTGAGAAGTGTAGATGCCGTAGCGGTGGGCTGCGGGCGCGTTGTGCGTCCAGTGCCAAAATGCGGCTTCCATGTCTGCAGGAGCTGAGGGTATGACGGCCCGACATGAAACGAAAAGATCAGTTTGAGTTGGAAATAGCCAGAGAACAAGATAGAATATGGTGCGAGCTACGCGTTGACGGCCCGTGCAATTGAACTTCCGACTAGCATCTGTGCTCTGAGCACCGCTCTACTCACCTAGGTTCCACTGATCCTGCTCGTATCAATCACATCTATTCTGCTAGCATGTGTTTCCTAGTGACAATCCTTTTACAACAATACCTGTCAAACGAGAACCATTCAAACAACAGCATCTCAACGTAGCACTGCTAACGCGCATTCGGAAAGAGACTATGACGCAACTTTGTCCTGTCCCTCGCTGACGTCAAGTCTCAGGACCCTGGTCTACAACAATCCTCAGGTGCCGGAGACTCCACCACCAGGCATCTGACACAATCCTCAGGTGCCGGAGACTCCACCACCAGGCATCTGCAGCAATCCGCAGGTGCCGGAGACTCCACCACCAGGCATCCCGCGCTGTCGGCATTTGCTGGATCTAAGCTGGTCCTAGATACGGTTTCTTCATGGGCGTCTGGGCCATCAACGCTTCTGCTTTCTGCTTCGATCCTTTGCGAATTTGCACGGCCCCAGCATGCTGTATCTCATCGGCATGCAACTTGGCCGCTTGCTCTGCATCCATCTCCAAGGCAAAGGTTCTTGACACAACCAGTACGAGACTCTTGTCAGAGACAGCTCGCACTGTGCCCACCACATACCTGGGCTTGCCATCCCCCATGTTGTAGACAAACATGTCCGCCAATGTGCACATGGCCTCCGTCTCGAAGACCCGCTTGTCCGGGTCGCAGAGCGAAATTACTTCACAATGTCGAACTAACACCGCACCATCGAAAATCTCCGGCTTGGGTTTGTCCTTCGCTGCAATCACCATGGTAATCTGCTCAGGAGTACTCTTTGTCGGCTTGTGGCGCAATCCCACTGGTGTCTTTTCAAAGTCACGCAGAGAAGCTATCGGTAAGATGTGTCCCATCTGTGCCTGCATCGTTCCAACTCGCTTCTCTACCAAACGATTCTGTCTCTCACCTCTCCTCACTTCCCCCTGAGCCACCTCTCACTTCTTCAAACAGGAAATTTGAAAACATAACCGTTTCTCTAATTTCAGCTCGGCTGCCTCAGTTCCCTGAAAGACATAAGACACTGCCGGTCGTCCATCTGTGTTCCAAGGCAATAACAATCCAGGCATGACCTTGAGGACTTCAAAGTTGGCCACTGTGGTAGCTCCATATGTCGTCGCGCGCTGTGATCCCAGAATGATATCAGCCCGTGCACGAAACGGTAAGCTCATGTGTCCTTCAGACACAAGACATTGTTCCAATGCAGCCAAATCCGCAAAACCTGTAAATTGAAGAAATTCAGTCGTGCGAATCAGCACGTGCTGCAGGCATCCCGTGAAGTCCGAAATGGACACAGCGGTGAATACAGTCTTGTCTGCACTTGCCTTCCCAGTACAATCCATTTGTGCACACCACTCACTACCCTCGGGAACCTTCTTCTTGCAAACTGTACAGGGTCTGTACATGATTTCCGCGTCACGCACGTCCGAGAGCCACGCTCCACAGATGAAAACACGCACGACCTCCGGGAGCCATACTTCAGGAGGCGCGGGGACTCCACCACCAGCTTTCCCCCGCTGACTCGCTACAGGCTGCAGCGCATCATCCCCCCATGCCAACGAACTATTTCGGACACTAGCTATGCACGAAGTAAAACATGGCCCATCTGGAGACATCGTCGTCGGACCACTAGGCTGCCATGGAGAGGAAATCGCTTCGCCGCCTTCCACTTCCACTTCCTTGAAGAGCTCCAAGACTTCGCTCGCTTCTGGGACGACAATGAAAGCAGAACCACGCGCCGATGTACCGGCGTATTCTCCCGTGAGACAAACTGAACCATCTGTTTCTGCTTTGATGCTGAAATTCATCAAACAAATCACTCGCTCTGTTCCAATGCCCTCCAGCTGGTCTCCAAAGGCTTTCCCCCATGCCTCCACCAAGAGTCTTTTCTGCGAAGTGTCTTTCACCCAGACTTCAGTCTTCTCCTGCGCAAGTGATATATATAACATTCAGGCTCGTCCCACTATCCGAGACTCTTGTGGTCTATTTTGTTTTGACTAGCTTTATAAACTGAATTCTTGGACACTCGATGCTCTAGTCAGACACACAACATTCTCTCACCAAATCTCCTCCACTTCTTTGATGGTGCGACGCTTCAGCGTGCACGTCTTGCATAGTAGGTCTGCTTTGCTACCCTTCTCGAGTCCTTGTAAACCTGCGATGTTACCCATGGTTGTTGGTCCTCTTCTCAGTGCGCGTTGCAACTCCCCATAAGCACTGTGCGTCGGAGGGAGGTGCTCCACACCCACATTCTGCTTCTTGCTCAAATCCAAATACTTCCCACCAGAAACATAGATACTTCTTTTGAAACAAAGCCTTCGAAAGAGAAAGGGTTTCCCTGCTTCCAACTTCTTCTGCAAGGCACTCATTTCTGTCTGACTTCCGATCGCTTCGCAAAACATGCGTCCACATTTTTCATCTACGACCAATCCAACCACTTTGTAGAAATTCTGCACTGGCTTCAAGACAGACTGCATCACCATAGCCGGTACTTCGTACCGCGCGCTCTGCGCATCTACCACATCCATGAAAGGCACGCATAGCAGCGTGCCCTTTCCACTCTTGGTCGGGGCGGCTGCGGCCTCCATGACAACTTCTGCGCAGTTCTCTGTTCGGGCCAGACAAGCTCTCAAATCAACCCCATCAAGAAAGCACTGCTTTCACGATCAAACAACATCGAGCACACACAGATCAGAAAAAAAGGATCATATCAAATCAACCAAACATAACAAGTACGTCAGTGCGTTCTTTTATAATCAAAATATAACTCTCTTGCTCACTTTCCGCCACAGCCATGCAACGCAACTTCATCCTTTTCACCTCATACGAGCATGCTATTGGACATCGTGCGCTGGGGACTCCACCACCAAGGCAGCATGTGCTGGGGACTTCACCACCAAGCTCCGTCTTCATCATAAAGGATCTGGTGGGAAGTGCTCCACATCCACATTCTGCTTCTTGCTCAAATCCAAAAACTTCCCTCCAGAGACATGGATACTCCTCTTGAAACAAATCTTTCGAAAGAGAAAGGGTTTCCGCGCTTCCAACTTCTTCTGCGAGGCATTCATTGCTGTCTGACTTCCACTCGCCTCACACCACACGTAGAAATTCTGTACTGGCTTCAAGACAGACTGCATCACCATAGCCGGTGCTTCCCAGCGTGTGCTCTTCGCGTCTTCCACATCCATGAAAGGCACGCATAACCGCGCGCCCTTTCCACTCTTGCTCGGGGTGGCTGCTGCCTCCATTACTACAACTTCTGTAATGTTCTATGTTCGAGCCAGACAAGCTCTCAAATCAATCCCATCAAGAAAGCACTCATTTCACGATCAAACAACATCGAGCACACACACATGTCAGAAATCAAAAAAATTGATCATATCAAATCAACAAAACACAACAAGTATGTCAGTGCGTTCTTCCATAATCAACATATAAGTCTCTTGCTCACTCTCTGTCTCAGTCACGCAACATAAGTCAATTCTTTTCATTTCATACGAGCATATCTCCAGTATAGCAGCCTCCGCCGCCGCATAGACACAACGACCTTTCTGTCTAGCCGCTGGCCTCCGAAGGATCATATCCTTCGTACATTCCCAAAGACGTCCAAAAATTAGTATTTCTCTGGTGGACATCCCCTTCGCTCTCTATCCTCTCACTTCCTGACCGTTGTTGCCACTCGGCCAATCGCGCTCGGCGGAGATTCTCTGTTGCCTTGTCTACTTCTCGAGGTGTCTCTTCCGTCTGCACGGTAACATCTTCGCCGCGTGGTTTCTCAGTCTGCTTCTTCTCCTCTGTCGCCGGTGCGTCCTCTCCAACGTCACGACGCGATGCTTCTTTCTTCGCATCGCCCCTACTCGGGGAAGCACTGTCATCTGTCAGCCGCACTCGACGCTCACGATGTTCCGCGGGCTCCGCCGCTGTGCGTTCCATGCTTCGTTTGGGCATCTTTTCTGCTCCGAACAAACATATACAATCACTGTAATCTAGCAATGGCTGCGTGACGCTGCATGTCCTGGAGACTTCGCGGCGGTGCCCTCGCCCATCCGATCCTCGTACCCTTCGCTACGCTCGTGGACTCCATCTATTTGTATTTTTGTTTTTTTAGTTATTTACTTATAGACAAAGAATATCGGTGATAGATATATAAGAGGGAGAGAGATATATATATATATAAGGATACAGATCTATGAATGTAAAGACACATAAATGTCTATATTTAATATATATCCATTCCCATATAAAACGTCATTCAACGCGCGATCAACGCACTGTTCGCCAAACGTACGCACACTCCAGCCACACGGAAATACCGCGCATTCACACAGAAACAGTTCCTGTCCGCTCTCTCTGTCCATTCCCAACCACGGGGCGCCATCTCAAACAAATTGCGCGATCCCTTTTCTGCCAGATTGTATCCGGGACTCCACCACGGGATACACAGTGCCATCTGCTCGCGCAGCAGGTGTCACTCTCTCCACGCAGGCTTCTCCTCCAGCGATGTCGACCAGTGCCATGCTTCTTCATCACAAAAACAATCACTCCGTGCTGCTATCAGTATCGTGTTCTATCCCGCTACCATGTCCCGACACATCACTAAGCCCGCGCACTCATGTCCAAATTTACTGTAATTTACCGTCTCAAGTTGAGAATACTCTCACTCTACCCCCCAGCCATCACAGCAAACCCGTCCTTTGACAAGCTTCTCTTCTGACGGTCCACTTCGAGATCACTTCCTGGCAAGGCAGGTCCGAGATTTGCATTGCTGGACAACAGTTCAACAGTTGACAACCAAAATTCTATTCGCGCTTCATCGGTGCACCTCCGATTGGACAAAAGTCTCTGTCCTACACAGATGTACGTGCTCGTGTGAGAGGGACCTATTGCCCAATTTGCCGCCTAAGGCCACATGGACGGCTGAGCATGAATTGCTTCGCGGAAGTGGGACCTCCATATATATCTTCTTGATTGACACGTGGTTGATATTGATCGGGACCAGCAGCTTTCACAAATGTATATAGAGTACTCAGAGGCGCGTGCATTCAGAAAAAACAAAAACAAAAGGTGGTGCGGAGGGTGAGCGGTCTTGTCGCGTTGTTTTCAGTGAGACAGTCACATTGCGAAATAGTATGTCATTTCAACTAGGAATCACCAAGTCATGAAAACAATACGTTTCTGTTGCGCGTAAGACTATAGAAATAAAACATTAAACAAGCAACGTAGACAAATATTTATCATTTGTGATATTGCTAAATGTTCTACTTCCAGGCCTAGGATTTCTCCTAACTCTCTGAATAGTATTCCAGCTGCGCATTTCTCTAATTGCACCGCTGCAATATGCTCATGTAGCCAACCATCTTTCCTCCTAAATAGAGACACCAGACGATGGCGAAACTTTTGGAAACGTTTCTGACAGTAGGCTTTTCCTTTCCAGCAAGGACATGATTCCTCGTTTCCTGCAAGAGCACAGCTGTTGGGTGCTCCCGGCCAAGCGATGGTACTCTGGTGCCTGGGGTCATGCCAGAGCATAAAAAAAAATGAAGCTGACGTCGGGTAACAGGCGGAGAACATGGCGAAAGCGTCGTGTGGCTCAGTCACGGACGCATGGACAAGAAGTACAAGGCTGGAGTTGTTCCTGTGATTTTTGTTTAGTCTGTTTTTTTTCATTCGTTACATTAGTCAAGGGGGCACGAGACAGTAGTCTATATGAAAGGACCTTCAGTCTTGTTGACGCGCGCTGACACACAGGCCGTGTACTCCCGTGGTTCGCAATAGAATTCCGGACGAGAAGGAGCAGAGGGGCGAAGGTCTAAGTGCGGTGAGACAGGCGAAGCCAGCGGTGCGTGGGAGAGACTTCCGGTTAATTTTCCACCGCGCCGCAGCCACAACGTGCAGTGGTGCTGGGCGACGCATGGACAAGAAGTACCAGGCTGGAGTTGTTCCTGCAATTTTTGTTCAGTTTTTTTTGGCATTCGTTTAATTATATAGTAGAGGGATCGTGAGACGATAGTTTAAATAAAAGAACCTTCAGTCTTGTTGACGCACGCTGACATCTCGCCCCGACAGGTCGTCTACTCCCTTGGTTCGTGCTGGAATTCCGGACGAGAAGGAGCAGAGGGGCGAAGGTCCACGTGCCGTGAGACAGGCGAAGCCCGCGGTGTGTGGGAGATACCTCCGGGCAGTTTTCCACTACGCCACGGCCACAAAGTCCACGCTGGTCTACTGAGTTCGGTAGTCATGAGCGGACGTCGTCGTCCCGTCAATTCATCGTATCGTGGAGTTTGACTTCTGGCCTGGAACTGCGGATCCTCAGGCACCTCTATAGTGGGACTTCTAATTATCAAGGATTAGTAATTATAAATGTATGTACTCCGTGAAAGACACAATACGAAACAAACAAATAGATTGATTGAATTCTCTAGCATGAATGTTATGCACTTGAAACAAACGCACGACCAGCGCAGTCTCACCCGTCTCTTCACTTCCGCTCCCCTGACGCGCCTGTCACCACTATCACTTCCTGGCATCCATGGTATACATTCTAGACAGCTTCCGCTGTTGCACAATAAAACAACATACAAAGCTAAATCTGTCCTCTCTCACTACCCCAACTTGCTGACCTACTTGGATATCCTCAACCGCATGCTATGTGGTCTACATTGTTTTGGCGCCACCCTCGCATCCAGTCGCTGCTCTCCATGGCCAGCCCGGGACTCCACCACGTGGCCGCTCCATGTTCACTCGTCCGCCGCCATTTCCAGCAACGCTTGCTCCTGCGGCATTGGCCAGGGTTCCACAGGCGGGCGCCAGCCTGGTTTCCACTTCGCCTCTTCTAAGTGCTCTATCGACACCTCCGCATACGGTTCCAGTCGTGCAGCCAATAGTTCCGCGAACGCAACACTTCGAAAGCGACCCTGAACACTCTCCACTCCTACCCTGAATGTTCTGCGCTTGCTCAATTGCCGCTTCACATGCAGGAAGCACAGCTGCAGTGTTTCTCGGAAAGGTTGACAACTCATGAGCTGCTCTTGTAGCATGGGATCCGTTCCATCACCCTGCGCGTTGCCCCGCTCAAACATCTGCTTCTGCATCCTCTGTGTTCGCACGAGTAGGTCTCCGGTCTGATCGAAACGCCCCAGCGAGCCCCAACTCCTCACACATACGCGGCCCCGCTTCTCCTGCAGCGTCCGAGCTGGCCACGTGCTAGGCCATACTGTTTTCTCCTCCTCTGTCGGGGTACGCCAGCGGTCGCTAGATCTCGTCTCTGTCAACAGCTCCCAGGGATTCCAGGCGGCACTGCTGGACGCAGCAGCTGCTGCCGGCTCCACCACCTGATCCGACACTCTGCGTCTGCTGCCCCCATCGATGCACAGGTCGCTTGATGCGCGGCTCTTCGGTGTCCTCGCCATACAGCCTCCCCGCAGCGCCGATGGGTTCCTGCCGCCAGTTTCGACCTTGTTCTGCGAACGTATGAGGATCCAGTGCATTCGTCGTATGCACCCATACACTCTGACGTGGATCGCCTCTGGACACCACGTCCACCTCGAGACATCGGCGGCCAAGCCATTTCTCTTTTTTTTTGGACATTTCCCCATCCTATAAAATCCGTGTCCTACAACCAAGAATGTTATGTATTTAACACAAAACTGCTTTCTACGAACGATGCCCGTGCCGCCTGCTGCATTCCTGTTGGGAGCGCTTCGTCTTCAGCATCCCAGAACCTTAAAAATTCACAGCCCTTCGGATTTCCAGTGTTGCTGACGATCCACACCCCTGCGATGCGAACCGCCTCTGCCGGAAACGTCCACTGGGTCCCTCCATCCGTCTTCTTCTTGTGCAGTCGCTTCCAGTCCACAAGCACCTCCAAGACACATCGGTGCAGGACTCCGTCGCAAAACACGTTGTGTGCCCTGGCATACCACATGGCTGTACCCATGTCTGGCGTCACATACACCATGGCTCCGAGTTTGTTGTATTCGTGGCCCTTGCTCTCATCCGTCGAAGGGCTGATGACACGGGTAGTCAGGAGGTTCCACAGAGCATAGAACCACGTGCCATGAAAGGCCTG